GAAACTGTATGGAGAGATTCTCCTTTGGCCTTTAGGGTCATTATAAGTAGGAATAACTCTACAGCAATGGGTTTATCCCCATTCTTTCATGAAAGAAAAGATTTTGCCTATTTCATCCACTACCGTGTTCTCAAGGCTTAAATGGTACAAGGCAAATAGACATTTAACTTGTGAGTATTTGAATGAATAACCCTCTATCTGAATTACTAATTTGACACACCAAATATTAACTTCTAACAACACTGACATTCTCTTAGAGAAATCAAGGGGAAGCTTCTACCCTTGAAGATTCCCTTACATGCATAGCCCCATTTGAGCACTAACTAATGGTAGAAGACAAAGACACTGATAATCCATAGCCTTTGGGATCTCTCTCTATCAGAGCAAATGCTCTTTCTCTTCTCCTACTTTCACCTCCATGAGGCTGTCCTGGAGACACATTGTTCTCTGGTATTCCATTCTGTCAGCCACTACACAGTGAAGAAGGCTGTGCCATCCATGAAGAGGAACAAGTGTGTCATCCTGCAGACCAACTCTCCTCAACTTGGTCAGGGTTGGAAGGCAGAAAACAGGACTGCTCAATCTGATCACAGAGTCAAGTCATAATTCTCCAATCCAACTTTACTAGTAATAAAGCAGATACTACCTTACAATATCTAGTTGAGTACTGTGTCTTAGGCATCTTTGGTTTGAGCAAATAAAAGCAAACAGTATAATTCTATTGCTGAAATCACTTCAAAACTCTCAAAGTAGTTATCCTTGGTTGTGAGATTATAGATAAATTTGTGTTCAGGGAAGTTCTGTGGTTTACCAATTTTATACAGTAAACTGAATCACTTTTATCCCAAGATATAGAAGGATTCAAAATATAGAAAAAAAGAAGAGTCTGAGAATTTTACAGTCACTAGCACATTCATCATGAGCCATTTTGACATACGCATATTCTTGCTAAGGTAATATTGCCCACTTTAATATTCAGAATACAAGATTTAAAAAAGAAAAAAAAAAACTTACCTATGATTTTACTTTTCCCAAGTGTGGTACCTGAGTTAACTTGATATGACTTCTCTATTCAGAGTCTTCTTAACTCTACCAAATGATTGGGTGGGATCATACAAATAGGGTGTACAGAACGCTAATGCTAGGATTGGTTAGTTTTGCCATCCTGCTAAGTTTAAAGGCGCCATCTCAGAAGACAGTACAGTAAATTCCAGGACCATCAAGAAAGAAGAGCCATGAACGAAGTGTGAGATCCAGACCTGGAAAAAATGGACGTAACAGAGATGGCAGCCTGAAGAGACAGGGCTGTGGGTTTACCATCCCACAGACCCAATAAAGCTGAGTACTTAAAGGCAGGAAGCTGGCTTGCAGAATGTGCCCTTTGGGCACTGCCTTACAGACTGACTAAGGAAGCTTTGCAAAACTTGGCCAAGCAAAGGCTGAGGGCCCACATAGCTGAAAGGGCAAAAACAAGAGGTAAGCAAGTCTGCAGTGCAGCAGAAAAGAGGTATTCTTTATTGATGAAATGCTGCATCCTGAGTTGTTTCTGATCCTGAATTGTACCTTGTTCATTTTCCTAATAAACCCCATAATTGTTAGTGTTGTCTATGAGTTCTGTGCGGCCATTGCAACAGACTATCAAACCCAGATGTGAAGCAGAGAATGCTGTTGGCGGCATGGTTGCTGTCAGAAGAGACGATCATAGAGTGAAGGCATGTCTGACCTATCTGCCTCATAGGAAATCGGCCTTGGGCTGATTTTGAGTTTGGTTCTCCTTCCCGCTTGTGAAGCCAGAGGAAATCAGACATGGCCTCCATTCCATTTTTGCACCAAGAATCACTTCAATGGAATGCATTTTAAAATTTTCACAACAGAATATATCTAGGGTTTGAAAATACCTTGTTTTTCTTTGAATGTTACATATGCAACTCCCTTGGTTCTTGTTGGATAAATCACAGCTTCAACATCTCCACCACCATTCTTAATATCTTGGAAGTGAATCTTCACTAATATGGCCACTGTTTGATCACTAAAACAACCAATGGGAAGACCAGCAACTACAATTGTTCTTTCGGAAGCTTCGGATCCCATGACATTGGAAATTGACGCCTGTAAGAGAAAAAGTAGGATATGCTTTAAAAATGTAAGACTCTACTGAATGAAGATGACATCACAAGCCAGTGAGAGAGACTCTCTTATTAATAGAGAGGATATTAAAATTGGTTAGAGATGGTGGTTGTGTGCCACTGAGTTTGTTCCAACTAATAGCAACCCTGAATATAGTTTCCAAAGCTGTAAATCTTTATGGGAGCAGAAAGCCTCATCTTTCTCCCAAAAAGCAACTGGTGGATTTGAACTGCTGGCCTTGCAGTTAGCAGTCCAACTCGTAATCCACAATGCATCCAGGTTTCCTTATTACAGCTGGTTAGATACTTTAAAAACAAATGAAAGCCAAATCATTGCCTCACATCATTCACCAAAATAAGTTCTACATGAATTTGGGAGTTAAATGAAAAAAAGAAAAATCTTTATTTTTACAAATGTTATCATTATTTGTCTGATTTTTAGGAAGGTCTAAGTATTTTAAAGAAGACTCCCTGGTGCCACAGTGGTTAAGCACTCTTCTACTAGCCAAAAGGTTAGTGGTTTGAACCCACCCTGCTGCTCTACTGGCATAAGACCTCAAAATCTGCTCTCATACAGTAGAACTGCCCCATAGAGGTCACATGGGGTCGCAATGAGTAGAAATTGACTTGATGGCACCTAACAAACATAATGGGATAAGTCACAAAGTAAAAGGTCAAGAAATATAACACAAAACAAATTAAAAGTGACTAACCACTCTGGTAGCATAGTGGTTACGAATCAGGCTGCGAACCGCAAGGTCAGCAGTTTGAAACTACCAGCTGTTCTGTGAGAGAAAGTTAAGGTTTTCTGCTCCCGTAAAGATTTATAGCTTCGGAAACCCTGTACAGGATCACTATGAGTCGGAACCAACTCCACGGCACATAACAACAACAACCACAAAATGGAGTTTGGTGTGGCACTGTAGGATAAACACTGAACCACAAGTTCAATTTGAACTTCAAACTTGATGGTTCAAACCTACTAGCCGCTCCTCTGAAACCTATACAGGGTCACTATGAGTCCAAATTGACTGCACGGCACTTAACAACAACAGTAACAACAACAACCACAAAATATGGTAATTTAGAAGTAGCTATGTTTTCTTGGTTTCGGAATCACAATATGTTTTCTTTATTGTAGAGCCAAAGTAAATAAGCCAGTAAAAAACGCAACCCCTACTCAAATTGGCAGAATCAGGGAGCAGTGACCATAAAGAAGAAAACCTTGCCAATGTCTGGGAGCCACAGTGGACTTAAATCCTGTCTTCCAGCATATGCAAGGAAAATAAGCGAAATTAAAAGATAATGGAATTTTTTCAGAAACATTTTGAAGCCCCCTGTATCTGATATCAAACTCAACCACAGAGGTCACCTACTGTTGCAGACCCTGCCACCATGCTTTACACAGAGTACCCTCCATGGTCTCTCTCTAAACTTCTCATATTATCCACTTAACGGGCCTCTGTTTAAATGCTTTCATTTGTCCCCAACCCTGTCTTAAAAGTAGATATACGAGAGTTAGGTCAAAAAGTATTGCTACAAATGCATAGAAATCTTTACTAAAAAATATCAAAATATGTAGCTTTAAAAAAAAAACAAAAAACACCAAAATAATGAAATGTGAGGTAATTGTTTCTAGACATACCCTCCATCTAGATCTATATACTAGAGTTAAACAGTGTTTCCATCTCTCTAACCATTTCTTGAAGAATTCTATGTTCTCCTATTTACACTATGTTAAAACCCACTATGGGCATCCTCGAGGGATTAAAATTGTGTGTCTCCTTAAATGTTCTTTGAATTTGGGAAACAAAAAAAAAAAAATCTGTAAGGGTATGATCGGGACTGTAGTTTGGATGGGGTAGACCTCCCAATGAAATTCTCATAGGACAGCTCTTGCTGTCCTCAAAGAATTCATGATAGGAAAAAAATTCATGATAGAAAAAAATTCCTTGGCACAACTTTCCTGGCTTTGTTTTCATTAGTGCAATTTTCAGTTTGCTTAAACTTCTTCCTAATAAGTCTTTGTGATTGTCCTGTGTCCTATAAGATGATCTATCAAGATAACCCCTTGGGAATCCCAAAAAAAAAGTTGCTATCACCTTCTAAGATAGCCTTTCTGTCTTGAAAGTTTGGATCAGCCTGTTTTTGAAGGTCCCCTAATGAGACTAAAAGGACCTCTGGTAGTGTAGTGGTTATAAATTGGGCTGTGAACCACAAGGTCAGCAGTTTGAAACTACCAGCTGTTCTGTGGGAGAAAGATGAGGCTTTCTGCTCCTGTAAAGATTTCCAGCCTCGGAAACCCTGTACAGGGTCGGTATGAGTTGGAACTGACTCCACGGCACATAACCACCACCAATGAGACTAAGACAAGTATGTTACTGAGAGAGCTTATATGCAGTCATTCACTGATTAGAGACAAGTCTAAACTCATTTTGTTTGGAATAAACGTGTGCATGTATGAACTAGAACACCAGTAGCAATACTTTCTGACTTACCCTCATATAAGCCTCTCCAAGTGGCTAGTCAGTGTAACTAGAACTAGTTAATTACACTAGAGCTCAGATATACTCTGTCCTAAATTGCCCAGGGGACACAAGATGTTTGATTGGCATTAATACAAAGATCCTATATGTGCTTGGTATATAAGATTCTGAAGGACTCCACTGATTATGGGCAAATACTACTGTTAACCTTCCAGATCAAAAAGATGCACTGTCTCCTCTCCCTAAGAACGAAACAAAAAGTAAGAAAATGCCAAAATAAAAGTAAAAGAATAAACTCAGTTAAGGGCAACAATCAATATAGGAAACATTTCAACAAACTTCTGGAAGACCAAATATTCATGTTGTTGTTGTTGTTATGTGCCGTGGAGTCGATTCCAACTCATAGCGAGGCTGTAAATCTTTACAGGAGCAGAACGCCTCATCTTTCTCCTGCGGAACAGCTGGTAATTTCGAACTGCTGACACTGAGGTTCGCAGTTGAAAGGACTGTTGAAAGGCTGTTAACAAAATAAGTGTTCCAGTTGACTTCCCAAACTCCCTGCTCCTCTACCCGCTCTACATATGTATACACATACACATACTACAATGAAGGCAACTGGGCCCACAACTTCAGGTACAAAACTTGAGAATTATTTAGCTAAAAACAACCTGAATGTACATTCTAGGCAAACTTTGACCTGTTAACATGGATATGGGCAACCAAGAGAATGGACCCCCATACCTGGCATTAAAAGGGCCCTAGCTTTAGAGATAAAAATTAAACTAAAAACTGGTTTATTTGTTTACTTGCTTTTTATCAAATTATAATTGCAAAAAAAGTTCATCCATTTGACCCAGCTACTAGGAATATTTTTCTATGAGTGGTAAAGGGTCAGGATACACTATTACACTAAAAGACATACACTATTAGGTTCTGCTATAAAGTTTATTGTTAGTTACATAATAATACAAACACTTTAGAATAAATGGGTCAAGTCTTCAAAGTACCTGATTTAAATATGATTACATTCTAGCGTAGTGGTTACGAATCGAGCTGCGAATCGCAAGGTCAGCAGTTTGAAACTACCAGCTGCTCAGCGGGAGAAAGATGAGGCGTTCTGCTCCCGTAAACATTAACAGCCTCGGAAACCCTGTACAGGGTCGCTATGAGTCGGAACCGACTCCACGGCACATAACAACAACAACAACATTTATGTGAGGAGTTCTGGTTTGATGCTGCAGGATAACGTACTCAACCACAGTTTGAAAGACAAGATCGGCTGTTCAAACCCACCTGCCATTCTTCAGAAACCCTATACAGGGTCACTGAAAGTCAGAACCAACTCAATGGCACTTAACAACATCATCAAAGTGAAGATATCTAAACCTGTCAATATAAAGATAAGTCACAGCTAACAAACAGAAAAAGGATGAAAGGAAAAACAATTGCCTTTTATATTGCAGGGAAATGTTTGTGTTTTACTGAAGTTACAAAGATGATCCATAGAAAAATTTTAAATAATATTGTGCAGCTTTCAAGCTCGGGAAGATGGGAAGAAGTCAAAAGTCATACGAATGAAATCCTCATTTTACATAGTAAAAATTTAATGTTGTTGTTAGCCATAGAGCGGGTTCCTGCTCAAAGGGACCTTCTATAGGGTTTCTGAAAAGCGGCTGGTGGGCTTGAACCATCAACCTTGTGATTAGCAGTCCAGTGTTTATAGATCATGACTCTTTGCGACCCTGTACAGGGTTTCTGAGGCTGTAAGTCTGTTGCAGAGCAGAAAGCCTCACTTTCTCCCGCCGAGAGGCTGGTGGATACTATGCTGCCAGGGCTCCCATAAACTACATTTGTTTATATCTATTTTCCCAACATCATCTTATTTTTATTGATAATACCTTTATTGTTTGTTGCTAAAAAAAAAAAAAATACACTTGCTTTTCACAACTGCTTTGACTTTTTGAGCTCTAATATTTTCATAACAGAGATTACAGGCCCTGTCGCTGCTTTAGGGACCTAATGGGAAAAGCAGGGAAGAAAAAATCTCCCATTTGCTAACTGTTCTCCCTAGCCAGCACAGATGGTGAAAAAAACAGAGTCCTTTGTGTCTCTAGAGAAAAAACTAAGGCCACAAAAGAAAAGGATTCACAATACAGTTACCAAAGATATCAAGATTCCTTCCTAATATGTGTCGTTGGCGCAAATCCCTTCCCTCTAGCCTTCTCAAGCGGAAACGGTGGCTTCCATTTCTTGGCAATTTCTCTTCCATCTAGTTCTCCTAAGGCGTGAGAGAACTGTCAAGCCCTACCACAGCCTGCGATGGTATCTTTGACGACACAACTCTGTCCCCTAAACAAAGGGGCATTGGGTGCGGGAGGTGGCAGGCTTCTCTCTGTCCCTTGGAGCTGCGCCTCCCTCACAGGGCCTGATCTGGATTGTACCGAGAATCCTGAATTGGAGCAAGAGCGGGTACCGAGGAGTAAACAAAAGTCGCTGGGGTGGGCGGTTCTCTGCCGGCCCTGGGACACTGTGCGCGCCGCCCCTGCCCACCTCGCGCCCTCGATCGCTACCGCCAGGGTCCCCAACCCTCTGGAGAGTAATGAGACAAGATGAAGAGGACCCTCAATGCCCAGATCGAAAGCAACTTGCCATGGACGCGCAGAGACGCCCCTACCCAAATCGCCTGGAAGCCGAACCTAAGGAGCGCGGCCGGTGGGGCTGGACCGAGTGGGCAGGTTTTGGTTTCGGTTTTTGGTTAAGCGCTTCCTTAGAGACAGTAAGTAGGAATGCGGCCCCTCCACCCACCCCCCCTGTGTTTTGGCCTAGTCGCCTCTGGGTGGGAGCTCAGAGTCTGGAATACTGCTGCCAGCGTTCGTAGAAACGCCCTTAGTCGTTTCGCAACTTTTGAAACTGTGATGGAGGGATACCCGAAGGCTTCCGAGGAATTCTCCCGCAGGCGTTTGGAGATTCTCTGAGTGCTGCGTCTATCCTGACGCTATTACAATCTGGATCCAAGTTTCTACGTGCACTTTTCTCCCCAGAGTCAGCCCCTACCCCACACCTCTGCCTTCTCCCCAAGCTCACCGACTTCCCAGCCCAACCCAAATGGAGATCACCGAATGAAAAGCTTGCCAACAAATAAAATAGCTCACCACCTTGTCCCACCATGCTCAGAACACTAAGTCTGGCATTTAAGGGGTACAAGGTGTTCCTTGGCTTCAAAGTAAAAGTCAGATGAGCGTAAAGACGAAAGGCAGACGATTAACAAATATGAAGACGTTGAACCTCACCGCTAAGAAATACGTATTGAATGAGACAGCATTTTTCCACAATTAGATTGACAAAAATTAGAGAAACAAAAGTGTGAGGAAGCTCGTGTTAGTGTAATTGTAGAGACCTACGAGCATTTTTAAGAACTTTTTCCATGATCCATCAAAATGCAAAATAATGTACAAATCCTGTAATTTCGTTCACTTTAGAACTGAACCTGAAGTTACTGGGCATAAATTGTGGGATGAAAATGTCCAAAAATGTACTTGTACGATGCTTGTTATACAGGTATTAATTAAACCAAGAAACAAAAAACTGGAAACTACCTAGTTTGCCCATGAATAGAACTATGTTGAGCAACTCATAGTGACCCTGTATAGGGTTTCGGAGGCTATAAATATTTCGGGGAGAAGAAAGCCTCATCTTTCTCCTGCTAAATGGCTGCCAGCAGCCCAGTTCATAACCCAATAGCTACCAGAGCTCGAATAGAGCTATAGCACTATTCCTATGCAGCTGATGTTATACTGTTAAGGCACAAGACTGTAAAGCTTTGTTCAAAAAGTGAGGTAGACCTGTGGTCCCCAAATTTATATTTTATTTATTATTATATTTTATTCATATATTTAAGCATCCATTTAAACTTCTAGAAGCATCTGAAATCTAGCAACAGCATGTGAAACTCTCCTTCCGCCCTTAACTTCCCCCTCAATGGCAGCACTAGCCAGGGGAGTCCCAGGATGATATCAGCAAAGTTTAAGTGCTTGGCTGGTAACTGAAAGGTTGGAAGTCCAGGTGCACCAGTTTCAAAAGAACTTCCAAAATCAACCACTGAAAACTACAGAGTATAGCTCTATGAGGAGGGATCACATGGATAACAATTGGTTGGTGTTTTTAACCCATCTAAGAGCTCAAGTTCAAGATTCAGTTGTGCTCTTTGCACATCTAATTTATTGGTACTTCTGATCAACTGAAGCCCCGAAATACTGCCATTGACAATACCCTGGTCCTGCTTCCGTCTTCTCTGATTCCCCTTCTATCAATTCTTGACACCACACTTAGAGTAATCTTTTTTAAATGTAAATCAGGTTTGACTTCTGTTTAAACACTTTATTGCTTTCACTCTAAATAAAATTCAGTTTCCTCATCAAAATATCCTGGATCTCCTTGCTTAGCAGTGTTCTTAATTTTTCTGCTTTGACCACACAACAAGCCACCAAATCTAAGAGTATTTCATGACCTTTGTACTAAAGTCTCTGCTGTCATTAGAATCTTAAATGACCCCTTCCTCAAAGACGCTGTCTCTATTACCCAATCTAAGTTTGACCACTAGTTAATTGTCATTCCATAACTGTGTTATACCATCTTAATAGTTCGCATGTTGTTGTTGTTGTTGTTAAGTGCCATCGAGTCGGGTCCGACCCATAGCGACCCTGTACAGGGTTTCCGAGGGTGTAAATCTTTACGGGAGTAGAAAGCCTCATCTTTCTCCCGCGGAGCAGCTGGTAGTTTCGAACCGCTGACCTTAAGGTTCGCAGCCCGATTCGTAACCACTACGCTACCAGAGCTCCTTCGCATAGACTTCTAAAAATACTGTATTCATATCTTTGCTCGTGTTGAAGGTCCATAACTTATTCAGGATGGTGTAGAAGATGGACACCATTATGGCCTCCTGCTGATGGTCTCCCACATCTAGATGGTTGTCTTTGTCCTGTGTTTGTCCTGCTTAAGGTTTAATAAAATTCACTGCCAGGGAGTCAATTCTGACTCATAGTGACCCTTTCTGGCAGAGTAGAACTGTTCCTTAGTATTTCTGAGAATGTGGAGCTTTACAGAAGAAGACAGGTTCACCTTTCTCCCTTGCAATGGCTGGTGGGTTGATGGTTAGCTTCCCAATGCTTAACCTACTCTGCCACCAGGGTTCCTTAAGGTTTAATAAAGGGATCGCTACAAAACACATTTGAATTAAGGGTGCTTTTTCCTTAAAACAAATCTATAACTCTATAGTGCTAATTTTTTTTAATTAAATAAATTAACAACAACAAAAGAAGACAGATTAGTAAATAAAAAAAGAAGAAGACAAGCGTGACTGCTGTATTTGTTGTTATACCCCTCGGTTCTCAGCACATAGTTGGACATCAACAATTATTTGTTGATGAATGAATGTGTACCCATGTGAAAATACTGTGCAAAGAAAAGGATAGGATATAATAGTATTATTCTAATTTTATCAAAAAGGAATCTGGATGGTGCAAGCAGTTTCTGATTGACTTTGAACCGGAAGGTATACAGTTGAGCTCCTTCAAAGGCGCCACGAAAGAAAAAGCCTGAAAATCTGTTTCCATAAAAATTAGAGCCAAGAAAAGCCAATAGATCAGTTCTACTCTGTAACACATGGGAGCTACCAACAATAGCATTGTAGTAAAAACTAGATATGTTTTCATGGAGAACATGCATTTTAATTTATTAAAAAAGAGTAAATGCAGGAAAGTTACTTATTATGGCCCTTCTAGCCATTTTCTTCCATTCTGTATTGTTGTTATGTGCCATGGAGTCAGTTCCGACTCATAGCGACCTTGTACAGGGTTTCCGAGGCTGTGAATCTTTACGGGAGCAGAAAGCCTCATCTTTCTCCCTCAGAACAGCTGGTGGGTTCGAACTACTGACCCTCATAGCAACCCTGTATAAGCTTCCCAAGGAGCGGCTGGTAAATTTTAACTGCCAATCTTGTAATTCAAACCAACCTTGTGGTCCAGCACATTAACCCATAACAACACACCAGGACTCCGTTCTGTAGTTTATTGTAAATCCCAACCTTTGTGCCTGTGATTAATGACCCATTTTGAAGTGAGTTGTTAATGAGGCAGAATTAAGGCACAACTAAGGAATAAGGCTTAAGGTAGGACTAAGGAGTAAGGATTCAGACTGGGTCTAAGAAGTAGGATTAAGGTGGAATTAAGGATTAAGAATGCTCCCAATTTACCATAGGATGTGACTCACCCTAGTTTTACTTAGTGGCATGATCTGAGTCCAATAGAAAAATGCTTTGGCGAATTTCTCTCAATTACGGCAACTGGCTCATCTCTGAAAGTGTTGATGGAGAATAAGTTTAATTTATGCCCTCATGTAAACTGATCAGAAGAAAATATTCAGCAAGCCCAAAAAGACTTAAGTAGAGTTGTACTGAATAAAAAAAAAAACACCAGCCCAGACTATAGACTCTGACTTTTCTAGACAAAAGAATCTTGGTCCCAAGACAGTACTCAAGGAAATACTCTGAGAAAGCTTTTCAGACTCCAAGAAGGAGCTATTTCAAATGCCCATTCTAGCTCTAGCCAAGGAAGAAAATGACAAAGAAGAATACCCCAAAGGGTAGATTCAGGAACTGTTGAGGACAATGAGCAAGTTATGAGGGAGTAGAATCAGGATTTAGTAAAAAAAAAAAAAGAAAAAATGTCCACATACTCTGGGGCCTGGAGGTACACATCTATCTACTCAATAGGTTTTCAAAATCGCTTTGGCCTAGTAACTGCTGTAAGTCTCCCATTCTTTCCCTTTTCAAGAGAGAGAATTTATTGCAGTTACGCTACTCTAACTTAACCATTGCAAATTGGATACATGGAGGCTTTCTAAACAAAAAAGATTCTCATCAGATCTGATACAGAAGCTACCACATATTACCCAGAGTTTCCTGCACTTTGAGCTTGATGCTTTCATTGAATGGAATTTTTAGTTCATCTTCTTTAGTAACACAGATTGTAAGCAATTTTGCATGTGGATTGTGAATAAAATACTGGTGACCAGCAGGACAGATTGTGCTACTTATTTTTCTGGCTCAACTATATCTGGTTCTTCATTTTTCAAAAGACAAAAGTTTCCAATCCTCTGATGGTTGAATGAGCCACATGTCTATTTCTGGTCCAGAAGATAATGGCTGGACATAACAAGTATTATTTCTGAATCACATTATTTAATTACTGAACCAAGACTCTCCAGACTACTTTTCCTTACTTTGGTAAGCTGGCTATCCCGATCAAGATAGGGCCTCATGCAACTTTGGTCTCCAAGTGATTACAATGAACTGACTTTTGATAATTACCTGTGATGGACATGGAATATGAATGAGAATTTTTTGAATGTTTTCTTATTCTCATAAATATGTAAGGGATAAAACATTTCCCGCTTCAGCTGTCTGCACATGTCAACTTTAATGGCATTATACTCACCATTTTGTTCAACTATCGTCTTTATCTGCTCCCAGATTTTTCTATCACATTTAACAGAAACTCCATGTCCCTGTGTATTGAGTCTTCCTTTTCCCCTCGCTCACTCCCATGCCTGGCAACCAGCGATAAATGTTGGATATTGTATGCTGACCTAGTGTAACTAATTCATGTAAGTTGTTGTTGTTGTTGTTAGGTGCCATCGAGTCTACACTGATTCATAGTGACTACACACAACAGAGCAAAACCGTGCCCGGTCTTGAGCCAACCTCACAATTGTTGCTACATTTGAGCCCATTGCTGTTGCCACTATGCCAATCCATCTCATTGGGGTCTTCTTTTTCTCTGACCCTCTACTTGACCAAACATGATATTCTTCTCCAGGGACTGGTTCCTCCTGATAATATGTCCTAAGTACAAGAGACGAAGTCTGGCCATCCTGGCTTTCAAGGAGCATTCTGGCTGTACTTCTTCCAACATAGATTACTTTGTTCTATTCAAACAACTGCCTTTTGGTCTATGCACAGGTTCCAAATGAGCACAATTAAGTGTTCCAGAAAACTCATTCTCCAAAATGTTCTCCATAGTTTGTCATGATTCACATGATCGAAAGCCTTTTCATAGAAAATAAACCACAGATAAACATCTTTCTGGTATTCTCTGCTTTCAGCTAAGATCCATCTGACATCAGCAATGATATCCCTTGTTCCATGACCTCTTCCAAATCCAGCTTGAACCACTATAAGTTCTTTGTCAATGTATGGTTGCAGCCATTTTTGTATTATCTATAGTAAAATTTTACGTACATGCAATGGTTATGATACTGTTAGGTGATTTCCGCATTCTGTTGGGTCACCTCTCTTTGGAAAGGTCACAAATATGGATCTCTTCCAGTCAGTTGGCCAGGTAGTTGTCTCCCAAATTTCTTGGCATAGATTAACTTGACCTTTACTTATGGATGTAATAGTTCAAAATGTCAAGAGAGAAGGGGTCTTCACATCAAGGACTAAGTCTATTCCCTCACTTCACAGGGTTGATAGGGATGGGCAACTTAGACACTGGCTGTAAAGGCAGGAAGTGGTTTACAAGTTTTCAAGAGAGAGTTTAGTTCTAGAGCAAGTGGGAAAAGGTAGAGTTCCCACTGAATACTTTTCATCTTGTTTAGATGGGTACTTTGAAAGGAGATGGAGATAGGATTTTTTTTTTTATTCAATAGTAATTGTTATCATGACTAATTGTGATTGTCACAACTATAAAGGTAGAATTTGTGTAACAAAAAGTGGGGAGTAGTTAATCTTGCATTCCAGGAACAGAGGACCCTAGGACCATCAAGAGAGAAGAGCAAGAACCGAATATGAGATCCTAACCAGAGAAGCAGCAAAAACAGAAATGGAGGTAGAGGTGATCTCATGGATAGAGCAGCTAAGGACAATAGAATCATGGAAAGAGAAAGGCTGTGTGCTGGTAGACAGGAGACTGGCTTACAAAATATGACCTTGGGTTGTTTAGATAATTATGTATTCCTGCATGTTTTTGTGTACACTAAAAAAAAAAAAAAGAGCGAACAGAGGCAGATACTGTTAATGATGGTGCATGGAGGAGATTGTAATCAATACAATAAAACAAAACACAGGTGATTGAGTGCAAAATAAATTTTCTACCATGTAAACTATCACTTAAATCATGATAAAAGCTTTAAAAGCTAACTAAGTGAATAAATAAAATATATTCTTAATCTTTTAGGGAGCTTTAAAGAACGTTGCTATTTCCAGAGAACACCAGGATACAGTGAGATTTTTTTGTTTTTAGAATCGTGAATATGAAAATTTATTACAAATTATCCAGTTTGTAAGCATCATCTTTCATTATGAGAAGAAATGAGACTGATGAGTGTTTCTGATGGTAGTGCACATCAAAAATGTTGGAAGTGAAAACAAAGCTCTTAGCTCTTCATTCTGTTTTAGATGGCAGGCAGAACTGACTAGGTATAAGTTTAACATCTAACAGCATTTCAATAAGAATTTAATTCTGCTGGCTGGCTCTTCATAAAGCATGCTATATTAGAATAAAAGTTGTTCAAGTCTTGTTTACAAAAGAGATTTTTGCCTTCTCTGAATTTTTTCAGTTGCCATTGGGTCAATCCCAACTCACAATGAACCCACATGTGTCAGAGAAGAACTACTCTGGTAGCTGGTTTTTCAGAAAATGTGTTTTTTTCCAACACACTTGTTAAGTGCTGTCGAGTCAGTTCTGACTCACAGTGACCCTAAGGTTCCCAAAGAGTGGCTACAGGGTTTGAACCACTCACCTTGCCATTAGTGGTTCAAACCAGTGCTTACCTTATAACAGCACATTAGGAAACCCAACTTACCTCTGGCTGGACTCGAACCATCCATCTTCTGGTTAGCAGCCAAGCAAATTAACATCTGTACCAACCAGAGACTCCACTTTCTCTGAAACCAAACCAAAATCAAACCCACTGCCGTTGCATCAATTCCAATTCATAGTGCCTCTACAGTGCAGAGTACAAGTTTCTTAGGGTTCCCAGGACTATCAATCTTTCTGGGACTGTCATCTTTCTCCCTAGGAGTGGCTGGAGGATTTGAACCACCATCTTGCCTTTAGCAGATCTTGGCAATGCTTAATCCACTGTATCACCAAGGCTCCCTTTTCTCTGAGGCTGTTAAATGCTAGCTAGTCCGTTCTGATAAAAACCTTTAATGTTATCTCTTTAGGTTTCTGTAAGACACTGCCAACTTAGGGCTCTCTCTCATCAACTAGAGTTGAAGACCCTAGAGAGCAAGACTGTGTTTACCTTCATGCATTCTCCAACATCAAACATGAAAAACCATGAGTCACTCATAAACTTGTACTTATTTCTCTTTATTCCAAAGTTTTCCAATCCTTTAAACAGATTCTTCGAAATATACATGTAAAAGAAAGAAAATGCTGGGCTTTATAATTTCTGAGTGGAGAAGGAAGACTTAGAAGAAATCACAGCACTAGGTACTCTGGATGAACAGAAGTTTCAAAAAATAGACATCAACTTGCTCTGAAAAGTACTTTTGGAGATACAAAGGAAAAGCTAGGTAATTGAAAATTAATCCCTCTCTCAAAATCCTGTAATCTTTGGTAAAATCAAGAGAATTCACAATATGCAGAGCTCAATCATACTTCTTTTGGAAAATGTTAAGAGCCAAGTCTGCATATTGGTAGACATGATGCCAAACAGAACTGGCCCAAATAGCCACACCACAATGAGCTAACACAGGCAGGGGGACATTGGGGTCATTTAAGATTTATTCCAGCAGATATGATACCAGTCTACGTAATTGGTGAACAAAACTCTTTTAAAACAGTAAACTTAATTGTGTTTCTAAACACACAGCACAACCTGAGAAGAAGAAGAAGCCAAAACTACAGAAATGTTTTTACATCTAAAAATAAATGTACAAACTTTTCTACTTTGTTAAGGAAAATAACACCCATTTTGTCAAACATTCATAGTGACTTGGACCCAGAAGTTAAAATTTTCATATGGTTTCATAAGTCTCTTCTTCAAAATATGCTATTTGAGGGTGATGTAGGGAACACTTGACCACATCTACTTCTCCACCACCATTCTTCTTCCTCTGGAAGTGAATATTAATCAAATCCTCTACAGTGTCTTCATCCAAATCAACATTATCCATTCCTGTGAGAAGTACAGTCCTGGTAGATATTCCAGAAAACACCTAAAGAAGGAAAAAGAAAACATAAATAGATAAATTGTCCATAACTTTGAATTACAAAACTTTATATTTGTAAGCATTGCTAAATATTTTGGATTTTATCTTGAGAGAGACAGGGAACTTCAAGGATTGTCAGGCTCAGATTGGACTATTAGAAAGATAACCCTGGTGGCATTATGGAGACTACAGGAAACGAAAGCACTAGGGTCAGATTCAGTGAGCAAATGAATGCTGGTGGTGGGGCAAAAAGAAGGGTCAAGTATGAGTTCTAGATTTCAGGTTGGTGGCTAGGCAGATGGTGGTGCTGTGCAATAAATAAGAAGGTACAGAAAAAAGCCAATTTGGGATACAGATAATGAGTTCAGAGAAAATGTGGAGAATGAGTTCTGATAGCCAATCGTATTGAGAGAAAAATGTAGGAATGTCTCCACAAAAAAAATAAATAAATAAAGATTGTACTAGTATCTGCAATTTATGTTTAGGAAATGTATAATAAATTAAGGCACAGTGTTACATTCAGATATTCTTTAAAAAAACAAGCTCATTCTGCATCAAGCAGAAGTAAAAATTTGAGATCCCTTACCAGTTACGATTCAAATAGTAATGGACTCCCAACTTTGTCTTTCTTTGTTTCTTTCTTTTGTGGAGTCGGGTGAGAGGCTCAGTAGTAAGTTCCCAAAATGAAAGAGATGAATTTACCTGAAACTTTTCCACGTGCTTTTCAATGTATGGAGAAACAATAACGTTATAGCAGTTTTGATTTATATAAAGGGGATAATCTTTCTTTTTCAAAATCTTGCCAGCAACTAAAAGTAAATGCAAAAAAAAAAAATTTTCTTATTTAATATCATCACTTTTCAGCCAAAGTTCAACTTTCCTCAAACGGAATAACACAATAAACACTGAACTGAGTGATTAATTTTTAGAAATGCTACCAGGTCCATTTTTTTTAAGTTGTAGTATGTAATTTTGACAAATGCAAGACCAAATAATGATGAGAATGAAGCAGTGCCTTTGTCCTGAACTATCCACTGCAGTAGCTCTGTTAGCATAGTGGTTACGAATCGAGCTGCGAACCTACCAGCAGTTCGAAACTACCAGCTGTTCCGTGGGAGAAAGATGAGGCGTTCTGCTCCCGTAAAGATTTACAGCCTCGGAAACCCTGTACAGGGTAGCTATGAGTCGGAACCGACTCCACGGCACATAACAACAACAACATCCACTGCAGTCAGATGCACAGAAAGTTGAAATGTCCTCAGGCAGGACAGTAATGACCTACACAAGAACCAATAGTCACCTGTAGAAAAAGGAACCCACCCATCCGACAAAGACTGGATGGAGCATTTCCCAGTTTCTCAAGAAATACAAATGATAACTATGACAGGAATATAATGATGTAACAAAAAACTACTCGGTTGTACTATAACTGATAGATTTGAGGTAACGGTGTTAGCCAAAGAATAGAGAGTTTGAATTTCATCTAGAGATAGTGAGAGCAAGTTCTGAAAATGTGTAATAGATCAGTGTTATATCTAGGACAACGAAGAGTGACTCATTTTTTAATAGAAACATTCCTAGTATAGAGAAATATGTCAAGATTGCATAAAGTTTAATGGGTAGTTGTTCTTGAGAACATCCAGCCACTTTTAGTTTTAACACCGCTCATCAGTCTGCCCCTGAGTCCAACATACTTGCCTGAATTCAGTCATGGCTCTGCTACTTATGAGCTATATGTCTTGGGTATGTAACATGACTGAAGTTTCAGAGACCTTTCAGGCAAATAACAGTCTTGACCTCATAAGCTGTTGTGATGAGCCATGAAACACTGCTTGCAAAGTATGTGCCATAGTACTCGGTAAGTGTTACCTGTTGTTGTTGTTAAGTGCTATCAAGTCACTAGCGACCCTGTATAGGATTTCCAAGGAGCAGCTGGTGAGCTTGAACAGCTGAACTTGTGGTTCAAACCAACTTTGCAATACAGTGCATTAACTCACAATGCAACACCAGGACCTATTACCTATCATAATCTTAATACTATTTTTTTCCCTTCTGATATTTATAAAGTCACTAGTTGGCAGAAACGGTTAGCTCTCAACTATGAATTGTTCAAAAAGGCCTCTGTGGTATAGTAGGAAAAGCACTGGATTTGTTTGCTGAATGGTCCAAGGTTTGGACCCATCAGTTGCTCCTTGGAAATCCTACACAGGATCACTATGAGTCAGAAACAACTCGACAGCACTTAACACCAACAATCAGAAATAAAAGTAATGACCCACCAAACAATTCCAATCTAATGGACTAGATAACCTAACACTTTAAAAATCCAGGTATAATTTAAAATCTGCACTCAAAAAACTAATTCTAATACCCCAAGATGGGTAAAAGGCATGAGCCACTTATTTTAAAACACAAAATGTTTCTATTAGGGAAAACAACATGGCACAGGTTGGACACTGTTACTGATGTGCCACTCTCAGAAATAAGAGGGAACCAGAACATGGTCAAAAAGAACATAGATTTATTTGTACGATGGCTCTATCACTGTGTGATCCTGGGCGAGTTACTTAACCTTCTTAAGCCTGTTTCCTCACCAATAAAATGGGTCTAACACTTACCTCCTGGAACTGTGCTAAGGACCAGAGGTAATGATGTTTATAGAGATAACCGTGCCTGGCATGTGATATGAGTTCAGTCAGATTTATGTATTTGAGGCTTTCTACTCCCAGCTGCTCCTTGGAAACCCTCTACAGGGTTGCTATGGGTCGGAATCGACTGTGGCACTTAACAACAACAACTCCCACAAAAAGCAGCTCTGGTAGCGTAGTGGTTACGAGCCAGGCTGCTAACCTCAAGGTTGGCAATTCAAAACTACAAGCTGTTCTGTGAGTGAAAGATGAGGCATTCTGCTCCCATAAAGATTTACAGCCACGGAAATCATATGCAGGGTCTCTATGCTTTGGAACTGACTCCAAGGCACAACACCTTGGAGTCCCCACCACCACTCGCACAAAGGAGTCCCGGTATAGTGCTGTGGGTTAATGTGCTGAACTACAAAGTTGGTTTGAACCACAAGGTTGACAGTTCAAGCTCACCAGCCGCTTCTCGGAAACCCTATACAGGATCGCTGTGAGTCGGAATCAACTCGACAACACTTAACAACAACAACATTATTATCCTCAGTAGCATTCATGGAAATAGTTTTCAGAACTCTACCATTTCATATTGTTTAAAAACAAAATCTATTATTATTTCATTTCAATTTTTAAAAAATGGACTAGGGATATTTTCAAAACTGACAGGGCATAATTGGTGAGTACCTCCACTTTCCACAAAAGTGATAACAGCGCTTCCGGACTGGGTATCATACTCCACACATTCCACCTCTCCACCTCCATTTCGGGATTTAGAAAAGCTCAGTTCTAACTTGTCTCTCATTTGATCTGCAGGCAATTTGTCAGGAATTCCAGTAACATTGATCTTCACTTCAGAAATTTGTACATGAACCTAGAAAGTAATTACAGATTTCAGAAATATGGATGAGAAAATCGGCCATGTTTAATTGAGTTCTAAAAAAGCTTTCCTCACTGTGTGTCTTAGCTATCTATCGCTTCTACTATAGAAGAGATACCAGAAGTGAATGGCTTTAGCAAACTGAAATATACTGTTTCACAGTTTAGAAGGCTAGAAGTCTGAATCCAGGTGCAGCTCTAGCGGTAGACTTTCTGTCTGCTTTGGGAGAAGCTTCTTCTCTATTCAGCTTCCTTTCTTGGAGATCTCCTTGTGCTTGGCATCCATTTCCCAGCCCCCCACCTCCACCCCCATTTCTACTTGTTTCATCTGCTCCTTTTCTCTCTTGTAACAAGCCCCATTGATCCTAGTTCATTAACATAACAAAGTCATTATAACCACAGGCAAAAAAATCAAACCCACTGCCACCGTTTACCCTATATAGGGTTTCTGAGACTGCAAATCTTTATGGGAACAGACAGCTTCATCTTTTTCCTGCAGAGTGGCTTGTGGGTTTGAACCACCAACCCTGCAGTTAGCAGTCCAATGCTTATTCCACAGTGCCATCAGAACTCCCTAAAAGACATTAGGATTTACAACACATATGACTGGGGTCCATGTTACCTGGAATCTGACTTCTGAGTTTAATGGAACTTGTTGGGCCACAATGTCCACACTTTCGTCCTCCATCTGTACAAGATGGTTTCTCATTCTTATCACATTTTTGGCAACTGTTTGGAAAGTATTAATGTAGAATATTTTAAGATTTCATGCTTTAATTTGAGAACAAATTATGCTTTTGATTCGAGAACAAATCATGCTCTGTCTTTTAAGTTTTTATACTGTGGACAGCAAGACTAGAGAATTCTCCTCCGACATTAATGCATAATCAGAAATGCTTCCATGTTGAGTAAGCTGGAAAACTTTCCTAAGTCAGTATCATTCTGACAATTAATCTTAACTTTATTTAACTTTATCATTCATCACTCATCTTTAATTAAACACCACAGAAATAAGCATTTCCTTGTGACTTGCTTCCCAGCGATTATATATTACATATATATTACAGACTGTATACGTTTGAATATTAAAAGGTGTGTTTTGGGTTTTTGGGCCACATTTATTGCTAAAATGCTCTTGTGACCACTCTTTTAAAAGCTGACAGCTCTGATACACCCATCACAAGGCTACCAAGTCTAATGAGTGCCTACAAATAAAAGTGGCTCAAAACAATTATTCCAAAAATCATCAGAACACCAAACAGCAACTATGTTGTTAAGCGCCCTCTGAGCCAGACTGGACTCATAGTGACCACGTACAGGGTTTCCTAGAAGTGGCTGGTGGGTTGGAACAACAACTACTATATGTTTGCTTAGAATGTATATTTGTTGTTGTTAAGTGCCATGGAGCCGGTTCTAACCCATAGCAACCCTGTACAGGGTTTCCAAGGAGCAGCTGGTGAGTTTGAACCACTGACCATGTGGTTCAAATGACCTTGCAGTCTAGTGCTTAATCCCAGAGCGCCACACCAGGACCCCATATAGGTGAGTGATTATTTTTAGTCGTGCGACATGAGAGTTCATAATACCTTAGATGTTAACATTTGGGGGTGTTTATTCTAATTTACCACAAAGAGATGTTCGCTCCCTGTCTTACAATATCAGATGTGTTTACGACAACCAGATAGCATACCATAGCCTGAGATCTTCCTGAGAAACTGTGCTAAAAGGGAAGGCGTTGTCATGTGAAAATTCAGACTCACTGTACTACAATATGACTGCAACTTGGTGGGGTTTTGTTTTTTTTTGCTAATGACAACAAGAAAAAATAATAGAAAATACCAATGAAGTAATACTCAGATGATGCTCTTTTCCTCCTACTCCCTGAAAAACCCCAACATCTGGTAAACTGACGCAACTGAGAGGGATTGCCTGTTTCAACTTCTGTGACAGACTCTGCCAGAAGCCAACTGCTGTTCAACTGTTACAACCTAGCTGTCCCAAGAGAAGAGGATTCTGGAGTCATACCAAGGGTGGAACCAGTGAAGTCAGTATTTCTGAAGAAAATTCCAATTGTATTCCCAGTATTCCCAGGCAATTCCTATGCAGAATCTGTCTCCAGAATCCCATTATGTCTTTCAGTAATATTCAGATTACCACTGCTAACAGCCAACATGGCTTATGCCTCCTTCCTCCACCCTCAGCTGCAAAAATAAGGGTCCGGGCTAGAAAAAAGCACACTAGGCAGAGATGCCTAGCTGTGCATCCACTGACCTGCTGGAATGCCTTTCCTTCTCACATTGACTTTCAAGCTTTAAGTGCCAGGAGTCCTGCGCTAGAATCACATATTCTCCGAATCTGAGCACACGAGTAGGGCTTGTGAAGACAAATGGGGGAAAGGTCCCAGATGATGGCCTGCTTGGAGGGATGCTGGCTCCGTGCAAAGTATTCAGGGTATGTATGACTGTCAGCTCTACAATTTGTTAACTGTGTTTACCTTCTTTTCTTTTTGCCAGTTCCCTTCTTAAAGGTTCCATTTCCTTATCTGAGAATTCCTAACAGCAAGTAGCAGTAACAACAGCGAACAGTTGTTTATTATGTGTCAGACACTGTACTAAGTAGTTTATGCACAATTCTCATTGAATACTTCAAGCAGTCTTTGGTGTAGATATATGAGTCTGTTGTACAAATCTGAGATTTAAAGTTGGTTAAAGAACTCACCCCAAATCACACTTCCAAAGAGGGGCAGCCTGGCACCCAAAGTCAGATCATCATCAAGGCACCTCAGCTCTGAGTGTTGTTGTTGTTGTTAAGTGCCCTTGAGTCGGATCCGACCCATAGCAACCCTATACAGGGTTTCTGAGGAGCGACTGGTGAGCTTGAACTACCAACCTTGCAGTTCAAACGGCTTTGAAGTCTGGCATATTAACCCACAGCACCACACCAGGACTCCTCGGTTCTGAGTTGGCTGCATGAATATCAGGTCCCATCCTACATCACTCTTTAAGTTCTTTCCATCCATTGGTCATATGCCCATAAGAAAATCACTTATCTGAGAATTCACTTTCTTAACTATAAAGTCCAAATAATTCCTACTTTATCTTATCACTTTCATATAGTTGTGTCAGCAGAAAATGCGAAATCACTCTGAGAATTGAGAGATCTACTAACCTAAGATATTATTACTATTATTATTATCATTAATAAAGAGACAGTACGTGGAGTCCTGTGTGGTGCTATAGGATAAGCACTGGACTGCTAACCACAAGATCAGTGGCTCAAACTTACCAGCCAATCCTTGAAAACCTTATACAGGGACACTATGAGTCCGAACTGACACAAAGACATTCAACAACAACAAACGTAGAGTAGAGGGAAGTCCTGATAGCGTAGTGGGTTACATGTTGAGCTGCTAACCAAAAGGTCTGTGGTTCGAACCCACTACCTGCTCCGCAGGAGAAAGCTAATGCTTTCAGTTCCCATAAAGATTTACAGCCTCAGAAACCTGATACAGGGTCACTATGAGTCAAAACAGCCTTTCTGCATGAGGGACCATTTTCAAATCATCTAACATAAATAGGAGTACATTTTACCCATCTATAAAATGTGGATAATTGTACCTACACCAGGGCATCCCTATGAGGATGAAATTAAATGATGACTATAAAAACTATGAAGCAATAGCCAAATATTATGATAACATTCTGAAAGCCCAATTGCTTTCCAAATTAATGATATTTTTGAGCATTAGTCATACCTTCTTCTTTTTCAAAAGTAATGAGTGCCTGCCCTCTTTGTAATTCATAAGGAACTTGTACGTTCACTTGAAATGAACAGGATCTATTTAATAACTGGCTGTCAGTCTCAGGAATCTCTATTGATTCCAATTTCATCTTCGTTTCAGGAATATTCTCTTGAATCTAATTCAAAAAGAAATATTTGATTATAATCAGGACAAGAAATAACTCCTTCCAGGGATTTGATCATCCAGTATTCATTTTCCACTGATTATAGAACCCCAAAGAACACGGAACGCAGTCTTACCTAATGTTTTTTAACAATGGCTTCTTTCCATGTAAGACTATACAGTAATGCAATCAAACATTGATCTTTTAATGCTATTTCAGAGCTGCAATTATAAGTAAATAACTATTTTACTTTTTCTACTTAAGGTTTAAACTGGTCAGTATCATTACACAGTATTTGATTCTAAAGCCTACATTATTCACGTGAATAAACACCTTTCAAACAACTGTAACAGTCTCTTTATCAAGGGAGTCATTAGACAACATGTTTACTCTCACTGCAAAGAGTGATGAAATACAGTCATGTGTATACTAAGCTTATTCTAATAGCAAATTCAGGAAATGTCATCCTAAATTTTATGATTTAATACTTATCAAATTTAAATTCCCCCTTACCCCACCCAATATTTGTCCATCAACTTCTTAACGATGACCACAACTTGGGTTTGTAACAAGTGTGATATGACACTATCAATAAGAAGTGCAACCTGGAGGATAAAGTTAAGTGGCTATAGTTAACACTTCAACTGATAGGGGCAAATACATATATAGAAACCATGCAAATGAATCAGCTGTTTGTCTTCCTATTTCCCACAGTTGTTTTACATGCTGAAATAAAAGGTGTTATCTCAAGGGGATTAGAAATATGTATGTGCTTCAAAAAGTTCGTGCAAAAATGGGTTTAAAAGAAAATGATAATTTTCCACAAACATTCTGAAACCCCTTTGCACTCCCTGAGTAATTTGCTCTAATTTTATATTTATTCTGCATCTTGATATGTAACTTCGGTAGAATATCTGAGTGCCATAAGGTCAACTTTACCAAACAAGCTATAATTTTTTTTTTTTTTTTTTGGAAAAAACAAAGTGTTTCCTAGTAATGTGAAAAAATCCGACACCTTCTGGAGTTCATGTAAGAAAGCCAGAATTCTAGCCCAGATCAGTGTCAGAAAGCTTTACGTAAGCTCTGTGAATCCGTTTCTGTCATCTGTACAGAGGGCTAACTGGACTAGCTGATGTCTGAAAGCCCGTAGAGGTATCAGACTGAAGGATCCTGGCACCAGCGTGAGAACGAACCAGAATCATAGAAGTCTTCTGCCAGATGTTACCCCATCTCATAAACACAGAGAGTCTAAAGTTTAGATATTCAATATCTTATCCCCTAGTTGGAAGGAGCCCTGGTAGTGTAATGGATTATGAGTTAAGCTGTCACCCACAAGGTCAGCAGTTCGGATCTACCAGTAGCTCCATGGGAAAAAGATGAGGCTCTCTGCTCTCACAATGATTTACAGCCTCGAAACCCTATACAGACTATGAGTTGGAATTGACTTGGTGTACACAACCACCACCATCTCCAATTTGAGAAAGATAAAGTGAAAATGCTTTCAAAATTTGACTTGTTTCAAGAAAATCTTTTTCTAACAACGAGAGTTATTGAAGTATCTACTTCAAACACAGGAAAATTTATGAGAATAATTTAAATAGTTGTTGTTGTTGCTGTTGTTGTTAAGTGTCATGAAGTTGGTTCCAACCCATACCGACCCTGTATAGGATTTCCAAGAAGCAGCTGGTGAGCTTGAACCACTGACCTTGTGGTTCAAACTGACTTTGCAGTCCAGTGCATTAACCCACAGTTCCACACCAGGACTCCAATTTAAATGTTAAGAGTTAACAAATATCCAATTTTTTCTAAAACTGTGAAACCCGTTTTAACTCATTTAAACCCCTTGGATAAGGAGAATAGTAAGACCTTGGTAAGAAGAACAAAAATTTACAGAGAAAAAGTGACGGAATGGAGCTCTTTTGTTGTTCATTTCACTGGATTATAAATAAATATAGACAAATGAGTAGATCATACACGTACATCAAGATGAAAGCTTGCAAATTAGACATACACATATGAACAGCATCCAGATCAAGCAACAACATAATTAACCCCTCAGAAGCCCCCTCACTCTCCTCTTACAGTTCCTTTCCTCCTCCAAGATGATTTGTTGTTGTTGTTAGGTGCCATCAAGTCAGTAACGACACACAGCGACTCAAAGCACAACAGAACAAAACACTGCCCGCTCCTGGGCCAACCTCACTATTGTTGCCACACTTGACCCCACTGATGTTGCCACTTTGGCAGTCCATCTCACTGGGGGTCCTTCTCTTTTTCTCAGACCCTCCACTTTACCAAACATGATATCCTTCTCCAGTGACTGGTCCCTCCTGACAATATGCCCAAAATACGAGAGACAAGGTTTGGCCATCCTGGCCTCCAAGAAGCACTCTGGCTGCACTTCTTCCAACAGACCTGTTAGTTCTTTTGGCAGCCCAAGGCACTTTCAATATTCTCCTCCAACACCACAAGTCAAAAGCATCAATTCTTCTATGGTCTTCCTTATTCACTGTCCAGCTTTCACATGCACATGAGGTTATTGAAAATACCATGGCTTGGGTCAGGTGCACCTTAGTCCTCAAGCTGACATCTTTGCTCTTCAACACTTTAAAAAGGTCTTGTGCAGCAGATTTCTTGACTGCTGCTTCCATGAGTGTTGATAGTTGATCCAAGAAGAATGACGTCCTTGACAACTTCAATCTTTTCTCCATTGATAAGAATGCTGTTTATTGGTCCAAGATGATAGAAACCCACTTTCCTAACTTCTAACATCTTGCTTTTGTGCTTTATTTTTTATAAAAAGGATATGACCTGCTTTACCTCTTTTGGCTCAACATCAATGTTACGGATTAATCTGTGTTCCCATAAAGTTATGTCCAAGCCCTAAATCTTATTTGGAAGTAGTGTCTTTGCAGATATAGTTAACATGAGGTCATACTGGATTAGAGGGAGTCCTCATCCAATGATGGGAGAATGTCATGTGAATATATCGAAAGAGACAGAGGGACAATGACCATGTGGAAAAAAAGGCAAAATTAAAGTGCTGCCTCAGGCCCTCACCTACTGTGGGATCCATGTGCTCTGGCGGTGGTAGCCCCAGCTCTCCTTGGGAGCCTAGACCTATTTCTGACACAATGTATGTTGCCACAGACTGGTTGCAAGGAACTACTACTCTCAGGCCCTGAAGCAAACAGCCCTCAAGCAAAGGCATAGATTCAATTGTCTGTTTTCCTGTTACCATGGTACTAAAAACAGGACTTCTTGACCACGTCTTATACCTTTATTATACAAATGTGATCCTAAGTAACTTTTTCAGACTATTGAGTGAGGGTGAATGAGATGGAAATTCACTTCTGGAAATGTCACAAAAATGTGCGGTCTATACGTGGACACAAATGCCAAAACATTTCAACAGAATTTCACTGTTTCTGCCCGTTATATGTGGGTGTGTGCATTATTTACATGGGAACACTGTTTGCAGAAACATGGTAATCCCCCGTAACTGCAAAAAATGAAACAAAAGTAAAGAAAGAAAGAAAGAAAGTGATGTTCTACAAGCCAAGGAATGCCAGAGAATGCAAGAAAACATGGGAAGAGAAGAAAGAAGCATGGAACCGACTCTCCCTCAGAGTCATCCACACAGAACCAATCTTGCCAACATTTTGATTCTGGACTTTTGCCTCCATAATGTGAGAATAAATTTTTGCTTTTTAAGCCACCCAGCTTGTGACGTTTTGATACAGCAGCTCTAGAAAACTAATCGAATCCTGTTTGTGAGACTCATCCACAGCACTGCATGCAGTTGTAGTTTGTTGTTTGTAGTTTGTGCGAATGAATACATCCCAACTTCAAATAGTGGCACCATGAATCACCAGGTTTCAAATTGCTTTTTCTGAAAAGTTGTTGTTGTGGTTAAGTGTCATTGAGTCAATTCTGACTCATAGCAACCCCTGTGCAAGGTTTTTAAGGAGCCACTGGTGAGCTTGAACCACCGACTTTTCGGTTCAAATCAACTTTGCATTAACTCACAGGGCCACTTTTGGAGATACATAAAATAACTAAAAGTATACCTGGAAATCTCTGGTGCTCACTTGTAACTCAGCTTCAAGCTTTCGGATCTCCTTCTTCAGCCTATTGTTTTGCTTCTTAATTTCTTCAGCTAAGCTCTAAAAAAAAATCAAGCAGTACCTAAAAGTTAAGACAATCCCAGAATTCATTTTTCTAAGTGATTTAAAGAAGCTAAATTTCCCTCAACCTGAACAAGGCAAAAACAGGCATTAGACATTTTCACAGAATACATATAACATAGATGATGTCATTGTTGAATGTTTTACACTATCACCTGTCAATTCTCGTATCACTGCCAAACATTATTATCCCCGGTCTAGAAGCAAGGAAATGCCTTTGTGCACTAGACCAAATGCAAAGTAATTTCAGTACTGGAGCCAAGATGGAGACCCAAACTTTACCAACTCCTTTCCCAGGTATCTGTGACTATGAAGTGACTTTTAAATCATACTTTAATTGTGGGTATATGCTAGTTTGAGGCAATTAAAAAATATTAGCTGCGATTCCTGTTGTAGACAGTTACGTTGGCACACTTGATACATGGCCTGTGTAAGAGGTTTATGCTACCTAGGCCACCATTTCCCTCAGGTCTTGAACTGAACTCACACTTGTTGCCCAATTTTCAGCCAAGCAGTAGATAGGAATATAAGGAGGACAGCAACACTAGTAAGGGGCTTGACCAGACAATGACTAAATAAGCTATGAATCTCTAGATGCAAATCAAAGAAATGAGGGAGAGAGTAGAAAAGCAGCTAATGTAGTAAGTATTTTAAGAGAAAGAATAAAAAGATTATTATTATTCTTATAAGGCTGAAAAAATAATAGAAGTGAAAAAAGTTTAGGAAAGTCTGTTGTTGTTAAGTTCCGTTGAGTTGGTTCCAACCCATAACGACCCTGTAGAGGGTTTCCGAGGGGTGACTGGTGAGCATGAACTGCCAATCTTGAAGTTCAAATCGATTTTGCAGTCCAGTGCATTAACCTACAGCACCACACCAGGACTCCCTCCCAAATTCAAGGTGGTGCTGGACTCCTGGTGTGGCACTGTCGGATCAACACTGGACTGCGAACCACAAGGCTGGCAGTTCAAACCTACCTGATGCTCCTTCGAAACCCTACACCAGGTCACTATGAGTCAGAACTGACTCGACAGCACTTGATAACAACAGCAAATCTAATGTATATAATTTTTTTTAACTTTTTATGACTTGAGTGATGGTTTACAGAGTAGATCATCAGTTTTACATTCAACAAATGTCCTTTGTTTCATTTCAATGACTGCAACCTTCTCAATGTGGTTTGCAGTCCAGTGCTTATCTTAAGGATTCAATGCACTCTTAATTAGCTACTGTCGTTGTTTAGTGTCGTCAAGTCAGTTCTGACTCATAGCGACCCTGTACAGGGTTTCTGAGGAAAAGCTGCTGAGTTTGAACCACCAACCATGTGGTTCAAATTGACCTTGCAGTCCAGTGATGTAAATCAAAACAATGAGATATCATCTCACCCAAGCAAAGTTCAAATTAACAGGAGACACCAAATGCTGGTGAGGGTGTAGAGAGACTGGGATCCTCCTACACTGCCGAAGGGACTGTAAAATGGTGCAACCACTGTGGAAAATACTGTGGCACTTCCTCAAAAAGTTGGAAATAGATATAATTCATTTAAAATAAAATTTCAGAATATCCTTTACCTTAGTATTATCTTTCAGTGGTTCTTCAAATTGCTCCAACATAAAGTCTTTCTTGTCTTCATTAACTTCCATGATTTCCTAATTACTATTAAAAAATTATAAAATTACATACATATATATATATATTCATAAAGTAAGAAATAACTTTTACCCTTTTATAAAAGAAAGCTGTTTTTTTTTCTCTGCCAAATCTTTTCTACTGTCCTGAAAGCTTTTATTACCCATGTGGCTTACAGCTGAACAAATTATATATTTCAAATAAACCACACTTATAAACACAAAGGATTCTAAAAATCTTTTGCTTTTCAGTATAAAAATATACCAACAATGTGGTTATTAACATCCCTTTTTACTCTACATCACAGTCATTATATAAAGCTCCATAGACTACTATTTGGGGTCCATAAGGTACAAATGGTTTACACACTCAGCTACTAACCAAAAATTGGAGATTCTAGTCTACTCAGAAGCACAATGAAAGAAAGTCCTGGTAATCTTCTTCAACCACTAAAAACATTAAGACAAGTTTTACTCTGAGGCACAGGAGTCAAAAATTGACTTGATAGCAAGTGTTGGAGTTTATTCTATTTTTCCTTTTTTTGAATCTTTTTAAGGAGTCCTGGTATGGACTGTAAGATGAGCACTGGACTGCCAACAACAAGGTCAGTGGTTCAAACCCACCAGTTGCTCCTTGGAAATCCTACACAGGGTCATTATGAGTTGGAATCGACTCAAAGGCACTTAATAATAATAACAACAACCTTTTTAAAGGTGACATGGTAGGTCTGTAGGATAAACTCTGGACTGTGAACCACAAAGTCAGGGGTTCAAGTCCACCACTCCTGAAAAATTTTACATTTTTCCAACTCATACAGGGTCGCTATAAGCCAGAACCAACTTGACAGCACTAAACAACATATATGCAATTATACACATATATGTGTTCCCTAGCTCTATCTGCCTAGAGGACCTGAGAACAATGAGCAAATCTAGTCCCCAGATCTTGGTTTCTAACACCATTCTCTACTAAAAGGACCCAGGGCCGAATACAGGACTGGAACAGGGAAAGGACAAGATCAGTCTAGAACATACTACAGATCCAGAAAGTAAGGAAGTACTCAAAGCATGTTGAGTACATGTCAAATGATGTAGAACTGAGCCTGAAGAGGTTCTCACTAGTCAAATCTGGGATTGTTAAAGCATGATAAACCAAAAAACAAAATTCTTCCCACAAAATAGATTTCAACTCACAGTGATCCTGAAGGACAGTAGAATTGCCCCAACGTGTTTTCAGGGTTGTAAATATTTGCTGGGGCGGACTACCACATTGTTCTCCTGCAGAATAGCTAGTGGGATCAAACCACTGGTCTTTTCATTAGCAGCTGAACACATTACCACTGTGACACATTAAGTAATGATCACACTACTATCAAATCAATTCCAGTGCTGTGAGACAGAGAAGTGCTTCTTAAGGTTTATGGAACTTTAAATCTTTACAGGAGTAGAGAGAGTCATCTTTCTCTAAGTGATTTGAACCACCAGCTTTGTGGTTAGCAGCTCAATGCTTAGACCGCTGCACCACATGGACTCCTTTAAGTAATGATTAAACACAATGACAAAACTGAAAATCAAAAGTTGTTACTGTTAGAAATAAATGAATAAACTAAAACTGTGGTAAGGAAAAAAATAGTCGGTTTCAAAATAGTTATCAGTTTCAAAGGGTAACTTTACAACGGAGAAACCTGGCAGATACCACCATAATGAAATAATCAGTGAATATGAAAATGGGATAAATCAAAATCATGTACCATCGGATAGGATGCCCTGAGACAAACACAGCGTGACTTCTGTGATATCCTTGCCAAAGAGGCATAATCTGACTCTGAACTTGAGGAAACATCAGATAAATTCAAACTAAGGCACATTCCACAAAAGAGTTAGCCTGTTCTCTTCCAAAGTGTCAAGTTAATAAAAGTCCAGGGAAAACTGAGAAACACTTCCAGACTGAAGAGACAAAAATGCAAAACATGATTCTGAACTGGATCCTTTGGCTATAAAGAATATTAAGACAACAGGTGAAATGTGAATGGGATCTGGGGATTAGATGGAAGGAACCCTGGTGTGGTGCTGCAAGACAGGCACTGGACTGCTATAAATAAGGTCAGCGGTTCAAACCCACCAGTTATTCCTTAGAAACCCTATACAGGGTCCCTATGAGTCAGAAGTAACTCTACAGCACTTAACAACAGCAATATATCAATATTGATTTTCTGATTTGCACAATTATATCATATTGATATATGTAGAAGAATGCCCTTTCTGATATATACTCAAATATTCCAGGGTGATGGGGCATAAGATTTGAAATGTATTCCTAAATAATTCAGGAAAAAGAAAAACTATTGCACTCTACTTGCAACCTTTCTATAAGCTAATAATGGTTCAACATTTAAAATATGTACATGATAATGAAACCTGTGAGAGCTGGATCTCAACAGCGATGGGACTGCCTCATTTATCTGAGACACACTCATTTTCAGCTTCTGACAGAGTGCAGTCTTACCACATTCCTTTCACATGTTTTAGTGGGAAATAGTCTCATTTTCTTTCCCTGACAGGTGTTCACCTTATGCAGGTTCTGGCTTTTGCAGTTTTGATGTAAATATTCTGCCACAGTTCCCCCATTACATTAACAAATCCTCACACTAGTCCTCTTCCAAGGTCTCAGACGAACTAACCCTAACTTACTTTCCAGTCTTATTGGACAACTCCTTGACTTAGTTCCCTGACCACAGAAACACTCAGTCAGTTCCCCTTCTCCTTCCTGGTCCTCAATATGTTGCATCTTTCCTTTCTTCCAACATATCTGATAAGATTATACTTTTCTTTTAAAGTCCATCCCAAATTTTCCCCAGGACTCTTCTGATTGCCCCAGAAGACATTACTTCTCTCTTATTTCCTTCTTTTGGAAGGCTGTATTGTGTAGCTGTGCCATTCCCATAACTAGATAGTAAAGAACACGAGCTGCTCCTTGCCTCAGTCCAGAGCACCTAATGCAGTACACTCTTACACACTGAAAACACTCAGTATATGTAGAATTACGCAGTGTCTTGATTCAGGTATTTGCTCTGCTGAGGCACGGTGGTAAGTGTCGTTGAGTTGGTTCCAACTCATAGCAAACCGAGAAGTGGCTGGTGAGTTTGAACCACTGACCTTGTAGTTAGCAGTCTGGTGTTTATACCACAACACCACACCAGGACTCCATCCCATATGGAATTATATCTAATTCCATTTTTCCTTGAACTTTTTGAAGCCCATTGTATCTGAAGTTCTTTTCTTACATTTTTTTGTGATTTTTTTTAAATTATTATTCTTAAGAGTGTACAATACGGCTCTAATTTATTTAACTTCTATAAATGATCTACTATGCAATACTCTTAGGACTTCTTTCAGCCTGTTTATAGTCTGGGCAGTTTCCCTCTTTGCAAGAGTATGATGTATGGTAATAATCTTTCTTTTATGCACTTAAAAGATCGACAGAATAATGACTTCCTTAAACATATCAAAGATCAGAAGGATGGTCCAGAACCCAGCGATGCTTCATTCTGTTATATACATGGTCACTGTTGAGTCAGAACCAACTCAAAGGCAACAAACAACAAAGATGTTCTCATCCTAATTCCCAGAATCCCTCAATATATTATATCATACAGCAAAGGGAAATTAAGTTTGCAGATGGAATTAAGGTTGCTAATCAGCTGAGTTTAAAATATGGAGATCTTCCTGGATAATAAAGATTACAAGGATACTTAAAAGTGAAAAAGGGAGGCAGAAAAGACAAGACAGAGCAAGATTGACTATAGAAGATGATCAGAGAGATGCAATGTTATTGGCTTTCAAATTAGAGATAAGGGTCACAAGCCAAGAAAAATGGCAGCCTCTTGTTGCTTGCTGCTCTCAGTTGATCCCATCACATGGCAATCCCATATATGAGCTGCTGGAAAAAGAAAGAAAACTGACTTGTCCATTATCTTCCAGAAAGGAACTTAGCTTTGCCAACAGCTGGAGGTCAGCACAGTGAGACCCATGTCAGACTACAGAACTACAAGATGATAATTTTGTATTGCTGTAAGCCACTAAATCTGCAGTTATTTATTATGGCAACAAATAAACCAATACAAACCACCATCACCCATTTCTTACCTAGTTCCCAAATATACTTGATCACTGTGGTGCCAGGTCTGATAGAATCAAATCTTCTATATGTATGCCTGTTAGAAAAAAAAAAGGAGGAAAATGAGGAATGAGGAGAAAGGTAGGAAATGTTGATTAATAGGTACCAGCTGCTGTCTATAATGAGATACACATAAGGATAAGTCAAAAAGTATTATTATAAAATCATAAAAACTTTTATTAAACAAAAAATATCAAAATGTGAAGCTATTGTTTCTTGACATATCCTCCATCTAGGTCTATCCATTTCTGAAGGCAGTGTTTCCATCTCTCTAACCCTTCCTTGAAAAATTCTATGTTTTTAGATTTACATCACGTCAAAACTGCAATTTGGGCATCCTCAAGGAATACAAGCTGTGTTCCTTTACAATGAGTTTTGAGAACAAAAAGAAGTCTGAAGAGACAAAATCAGAGTTAAGGTTTCCCAGTGAAATTCTCACAGGACAGCACTTGCTACCCTAAAGAATGAGCAGGTGGTAGGAAAAAAATGCCATTTTTCTCACTAATCCAGTTTTCACATTTTTTTAAAAGTTTTTTTCATAATAAGCCCCATGATTGTTCTGTGTCATTCGAGAAAATCTACTAACTTTATCTCTTTGGGATTGGCCTAAAATAGTTATTATAGCCTTTTGAGCTGACCTCCGCCTTGAGTTTAACTGTCCCAGCACATCCCCTCAGAAGTTACTGTTCTGATTGGACCTTGCTATCTGTCTGATGAAGTCCTGGTGTGGTGCTGTGGGATAAAGCACTTGACCACAAGGTCGGTTTGAACCACAAGGTTGGTAGATGAAACTCACCAGCCACTCCTCAGAAATCCTATGTAGACTCGCTGAATGGGAACCAACTCAGTGGCACTTAAAAACATCTCTATCATATTGGTAAACTCAAGACTCATCATTAGCTTCAATCTTACTTAAAAGCCCTTTGCACTATCTGATCTCCTCACTATACTTTGAGCACCCAAAGAGTTGAAAGTTTGCTGAGGCCAAGATGCTTGATTTAAGTTGGAAGTGTTTAATTATGTAAAATCTCAACATCAGAAATCTATTGCATCAATGGTAATTCCATGGTCTTCTACCATCAGTTTCTGGACTCAGCAGGTTTCCTCATTCGTTGAGATTAATGGTCTTCCCTCTCCTGGATCATCTAAAGATAGGTCCTCCTAACACTAAAACACCTATGTACTGCACGCATGAACTGGTACCCTAGTTGCGGTACTTTTTCACTTACCTTAGTATAATCTTAAAAGAATTTAACCATATTACACAAACTGGAAAGACCTCCTTTGGATGGCTCCTTCAAGACAGTCTGCATGCGATGAAAGGTGAGGTGTAAAGTGCAGAGTTTAGTGACTGTCAAGGAAGACTATAAGTCCTTTAAGGAACTCACTTTGCTAAGAACAATCTCAAGGGACTACAAAACGAAAGGGAAACAAATAATTGTTGAGTTTCGATTTCCGGACTGCAACAAAGTAAACTCAAAGGATAGGATCAGAGATGGGGCACCACAGAGAACCGTCAACTTGCGCCCCCCCTTCCCCCCACACACACACTCCCGCCGCCGGCCAAAGCCCCCTAGCCAGTTCGATGGCTATGGATAGCCGGCTCTTGGCTGCAGAGTGCCGGGCCGATCCCTAGGGGTAGCAGAAACGATTCCCGGGTCCTGGCCTCTGGGTAGTTTCCACCACCCACGATTCCGCGGAAGTCTCCTCCCGTCCCACCCAAAGCATGTGTAGCCCGCGGCTATTACTGGTACAATGACAGCCCAGCGGCAGCCGAGGAAAAGCCCCACTTACCCGCGTCAGCCCGCAGAAAGCTGCGAGCCCGTGCCCTTGTCACGCCCTGGAACCAGTTACCCGCCCTTCCAGGAAACCACGTGTGACGCGAGAGGGGAGGGGAGAGCTGGCAGCCTAGGCCGGGATTCCGGGATTCCTGCCTGGAATCCACCAAGGGGCTGCCTCGGAACATCCCTGATCCAGTATCCTGGCACTGCGTGATGCAAAAGTGTCTCCAGACTTATGAAGAGCCAAGAGCCAATTCCCCACGAGTTGTCATTGGGATTAAAAATATGGTTCCTTAAAAAATAATAATTGGTGCCATAAATACATTATCAAGCCTACTTAAAAATGCACAACTAGCAGAAGACAAACTAGATGTCCGGAACCTCCTAAAAAGTAAACATTTATGTGTTTACTAGATGCTGTTTTTGTTGTTGTGTTTACTAGATTTTGTTATTGTGGTTACTAGATATTGTTTTTGGTGAACCTAGATACTGTTTTTGTTGTTAGATGCCATCCAGTCATAATGACCCTATATACACAACAGAAGGAAACACTTCCCAGTCCTTTGCCAGCCTTAAAATTGTTACATTTGAGCCCATTGATGCTTCCACTGTGTCAGTCTATTTCATTGGGTTTCTTCCTTTTTTCCTGACCCTCCACTTTACCAAGCATGCTGTCCTTCTCCAGGGACTGGTCCCTCCTGATAACATGTCCAAAATATAAGAGACAAAGTCTTGCCATCCTGATTTCTAATAAGCATTCTGTTCTGGCTGTACTTCTTCCAGCACAGACTTGTTTGTTCTTCTGGTAGTCCACGGTACTTTTAATATTCTTCTCCAACACCATAATTGAAATGCATGGGTTCTTCTAAGATCTTCTTTGTTCATGGTCCACCTTTCACATGCATATGAAGCAACTGAAAATACCATGGCTTGGGTCAGGCACACCTTAGTCCTCAAACCTACAGACTGGGGAAAAAGTTTTGGCAACATATATCGGACAAGAGACTCTATACTCTAAAATGCATATAATACTTCAACACATCACCACCAAAAAACAAAATAATCCAATTAAAAATTGGACAGAGAACATGAATAGACACTTCGCCAAAGACAACATTCAGATCGCTAACAGGTTTATAAAGAAATGCTCTTTATCATTTACTGTTGTTGTTATTAAATGCCATCAAGTCAGTTCCAACTCATAGTGACCCAGTACAGGGTTTCTAAGAAGCAGCTGGTGGTTTGAACCGCTGACCTTGAGGTTAGCAGTCCTGTGCTTATCCCACTGTGCCACACGAAAATGAGAGCTCATCTGACTTCATCATTAATAGCAAAGTTAAAGAAAACAACAAATGCTGTTTAGAGTGTGGAGAGATTGATGACAATAGCGGCGAGACACTATAAATGGGGCAACCATTGTGGAAAAAAAGTATGATGCTTCTTTTAAAACATCTGAAATAGAAAGACCATATGATCCAGCAATCTAGATACATATCCTACAGAAATAAGAGCCATGATCTGAACAGATATATGCACACCCATGTTCATCGCAGCATTATTCACAATAGCAAAAAAAAATGGAAACAACCTAAGCATACATTAATGGATAAGCAAAGAATCCTACATACCCACAATGGAATACTATGCCATGTTAAAGAATAAGGCTGCATCTGAGAACACCTGATAACACAGATGAAACTGAGGGACATTCTGCTGAGTGAAATTAGTGAAATTAATCATAAAAAGACAAATATTGTATTAGTCCACTGCTGTAAAAAGTTACAGAATATTTACACAGAGAAAAAGAAACAGTTTTGAAAGGTTACCAGAGGTGGGGAGGGTAAATCATTAACTAGAGAGTTTGTTGTTAGGTGCGGTTGAGTTGATTCCGACTCCTACTGGCTCTACACAACAGAATGAAATACTGTCCAGTCCTGTGTCAGCCTCACAATTGTTGTTATCTTTCAGCTCATTGTTGCTGACATCAGTCAATCTATCTCATTGGATGACTTCCTCTTTTCAATGACATTACATTTTCCCAAGCATGATGTCCTTCTCTAGGGACTGGTCCTTCCTGACAACAGGTCCAAAGTATATGAGACAAAGTCTCACCAGCCTCACTTCTAAGGAGCATTCTGGCTGTACTTTTTGTAAGATTTGTTTGTCCTTCTGGTAGTCCATGGTACTTTCAATATTCCTCACTAACACCATAGTTCAAATGCCTCGATTCTTCTACTAGAGGATAGGTAATATTAGCTTGGAGAAGGGAAAAGCACAAAATGATGAAGGTATAGGAAGATACTGGGAGAAACACAAGCATTAAAGGCAACAAGGGTAAATACTATTACATACACAATCCTGTAATAACAGTGATCTACGAGTGAATACACAGACACGCAAGCTAAACAAGAGTGGAAAGGTAAGTGAGATCACTCCCACAATGATTACGGGGTTACAAAAGTTCATGGAAAAATGGACAAAGGGCATGTCTACCTATGTATTTATATATGCTGCAAATATATCCAGGAATATAGTTGTTGTTGTTGCTGTTGCTAGGTACCATCGAGTCAGTACCAACTCATAGCTGCCCCTACGCACAACAGGACGACACACTGACTGATCATGGGCCAACCTCACAATTGCTGCTAAGCTTGAGCCCATTGATGCTGCCATTTTGCCAATCCATATCACTGGGGGTCTTCCTCCTTTTCTCTGACCCTCCACCTTACCAAACATGATATCCTTCTCCAGAGACTGTTCCCTCCTGACAATATGTCTGCAGTATGAGAGACAAAGTTTGGCCATCTTGGCCTCCAAGGAGCACTCTGGCTGCACTTCTTCCAGCACAGATCTGTTGGTTCTTTTGGCAGCCCATGGCACTTTCAATATTCTCCTCCAACACCATAACTCAAAAGCATCAATTCTTCTACAGTCTTCCTTATTCACTGTCCAGCTTTTGCATGTATATGAGGTTATTGAAAATACCATGACTTGGATCAGGTGCACCTTAGACCTCAAGCTGACATCTTTGCTCTTCAACACTTTAAAAAGGTCTTGTTCGGCAGATTTGCCTAATGCAATACATCGTTTGATTTCTTGACTGCTGCTTCCACGTATGTTGATAGTTGATCCAAGAAGAATGAAGTCCTTGATAGCTTCAATCTTTTCTCCGTAGAGTGGGCAAAGTTAAGAGCACTTTTTAATCATAACCAAGTACCTGAGGTACTTGGAACTCAGTACCATCATCTTGGGGGACACCAAGGCCAGTTAGCATAACATAGTCCAGAAAGACAATGTTCTACATCCTACTTGGGTGAGTAGTGACTGGGGTCTTAAAACCTAGTGAGTAGCCATCTATGGTGCAACTATTAGTCTCTCCCTGTTTGGAGCAAAGAAAAGTGAAGAAAATCAAAGACACAAGGAAACAATTAGTGCAAATGACTAATGCTGTTGTTAAGTGCCATTGAGTCAGTTCTGACTCATAGTGATCCGGTATAGGGTTTACAAGGAGACTCTGGTGAATTTGCACTGCCGACCTTGTGGTTCAAACCAACCTTGTGGTCTAGTGCTTTATCCCACAGGTCCACACCAGGACTAATGGACCATGCAAAACCAAGCCTTCAGAAATCAGAACTAGATGGTGCCTGGCTACCGCTGATGACAGCTTTGAAAAGCATCATAATAGGAAATTCTGGATAGAGTGGAAGAAAAATGTGGAACAAAATTCAAAGTCAAGAAAATGACCAGGCTTACTGATCTAATAGAGACTGTTAGAACCCCCATAGTCACCCTTGAGGCCTAGAATTGAACTCAACCCTCTGGCTCTACTTTCAATCAAAAGTAGACAGACCTGTAAGGTGAACAATAACGTCTGGGAGTTACCCCTCCTTAGAGCAATCAGCCGTAAGAAACCAAAACGGAAACATTTGCCCAGTGATACAGTTCAGAAAGCAACAATGGGTAGGGAAGAAGGACAAATGGGAAGCCTGCTTTTGCACTGTGGGGGCTGCAATCAATGTCATAAATCAAAATGACTTATTGAATGGAAAACCAGTTTACTCTGGAAACTTTCACCAAAATCGCACTACAATAATTAAGAAACTGCTCAAATACTTTTTTCTTATAAAATGATCACTACCAACAATACCAAACCTAGCATGTCCAATGTTTTTAAAGTGTACCACTAGCAACAAAAAGATATAATTAGTTTTCTTTTCTCTTTAAAAGGTGGTTTGTATTCTTGGTTTGTGAGAATCTATTTCAAAAGTGGACTCCTGCTGTAGTGCTGTAGGATAAGAACTGGACTGTTAACCACAAGGTCTGCAGTTCAAACCCACCAGCTGCTCCTCAGAAGTCCTATGCAGGGTTGCTATGAGTTAGAACAGACTTGACAGCACTTAACAACAACAATTCCAAAAATATTATTGACGTTTCTATACATACTGATAGAAACTGGTGGGAGTCCTGGTGTAGTGCTGTGGGCTAATGCGTCAGACAGCAAAGTCATTTGAACTGCAAGGTCGGTAGTTCAAGCTCACCAGCTGCTCCTTGGAAACCCTATACAGGGTCACTATGGGTCGGAATCGACTCGATGGCATTTAGCAACAACAAAATACGTACTGATATTAGAACATGCTTTTGAAAATTTGTATGTGTGTTAGCAAAGTGGATAAAATCCAAAGAAATTGATTCCAAGAACATAAAGTGTACTTTTAAAAGTACATAAATCAGGAATCTGTCTTAGAGAATGCCATGCAGATTTTACATCTGATTGTAATTTGCTGGTCTTTATACATTTAAACTACAACTTTGTTACAGGCAACACAACATCAACATTGCTGGGCATCTTTTGCAATGTCCCTTGGGCCATGAAGTTGAGAAAGCTGCAAGGTTCACTTGGTCTCAATGACCCTTGTCCCTTAAAAGTTCTCTTGGAACCTTTTGTTTTGTTGTGGTGCTTGTAAATAATTATTTCACTAGGTGTAAATGCATCATTTGAAAACAATCATCTGACATATTTCAAGATGTGCTGTGTTTCTTAATCCTACACCAAAAACTACCCCACAGCTGCATTTGTGCATAAATACTGGTAGGAAACACATATCAAAATGATATAACGTTCCAGATTCTAGTTTATAGCATTCTATATTAATCGTACACTGGCTTAATTCCAACTCATAGTGAC